TTTCCCTCGGAGAATATGTTCAAGTGCAGAGATTTCTTATTTCTCCTGATCTCTCCTTCCAGGTTTCTGCTGCTGCAGTTCCAACAGGCTGATGGACTGTCTTCATGTGGATGTTCTGCTAACAACTCAAGCAACGTCTTCGTCCCCAGACCACAGCCTTTTGCTTTAACTTCATCTGCTTTGAGCCTTCCTCCATGGTCTATGACTCGTCCTTTTTAATCTCTTTTTATCCAGCTTAAAAAAATTTTTTTCCCATAGTCATTAAAGCAGTCTAGGTCCTCATCACTCCTCACATCAGCCTTCAAACAAGTTTTGCTGCTTCTCAAGATGTGTCCTTGCAGTCCTCTTGTACGATGCCCTCCAGCAGATTATTTCAGCCGCTGCTTGATCATGCCACCCCCTGCTCCATATAACTTTCCATGGTTTCCCCCTGTTTAGACAGAGAGGCAGTTCCCCGTGTGGAGACCATGCGAGGCCCACTGACAGCCTAAAGTCCACATGACCTCTTTCAAGGCCCATCTGTTGTTTCGTTTAGATCCTAGTACATTAAAGGGCCACGCTGGCACACAAGGGCTGTTCTCGAGTGAAGTATAACGAGCTTGGTTCCTATCGTCTTTAGGCCTCCTTCACACACTGGTTTTCGTGCCTTGTCGTGCTGTGCATCTCTGTTTGCAACCTGGGTTTGGTTCCACATTCAGTAGCTGCCGTGATTAGATCCTAGTCAGCTCTTGATCCTCAATTTCTTTTCCCTTGTTATATTTTATCATTTCAACCTGGATGAAAAACTTAATGAGGTAGAAGGAGCAAAAGCAAGGATGTAGCCTATACCTAGGGCCGGAGGCACAGACCTGTATAGAGTCCCTCGGAGTGGCATTTCCTATAGTTAAAGGGGTACAGTGGGTGGGATGGATGGAAACAGGTGACTGGGGAAAAGGGGACAAAAAAGAGGAGGCACCATGGGCCAATTCTTGGAAATCGAATTCTGCAGTGGAGGACGGGGGAGGGGTGAAGGAGATATAGGAAGCTGGGGGTAGTTCTGTGACATTGTCACAAGCCCCAGCCCAGTTGTGTGTGTCTGTGTGTGCTCAGAACTCTCCCCCACCCATGAGAACAGAAGTGATGACAGAGAATGAAGAAAGAGGGTCATCAGACTGAGCTACTGAGACCCAGAAGAGGAAGCTGAGTAGGGTTTAGGTGACTTCCTAGTTTACTGTTTAAAACTATCTCTCGCCAAAAGGGGTTTCTAACCTTTTTATTTCCTGCTAAGAGAATAAGCTTTGGGAAGCTTGTTGCTTAGGGAATTCACATGTCACTTCACCTGGTCTTCTGATCTGTTTCTTGCTCAGAGACTCTCCTTATTGACTCTATCTAAAAGGAGTAGCACTCCCCCCTCAACCCACCCCTGCCGCCACCCCGTGTCTATCCCCTTAGCCTGCTTTTTTTTTTCTTAGCTCTTATCAATTCCTGAGAGTAAACTATGTATTGATTTATTTGTTTGTTTTATGTCTCCCCTTTAGAACATAAGTTCCTTGCAGGCAGGGAGTTTGTCTGCTTTGCTTGCCTCTGTTTTCTTTTTTTATAAATTTATTTATTTATTTTTGGCTGCATTGGGTCTTTGTTGCTGCGCATGGGCTTTCTCTAGTTGCAGCGAGCGAGGGCTACTCTTCGTTGTGGTGTGCGAGCTTCTCATTGCGGTGGCTTCTCTTGTTGCGGAGCACAGGCTCTAGGCACAAAGGCTGCAGTAGTTGTGGCATGCGGGCTCAGTAGTTGTAGCTCACGGGCTCCAGAGCACAGGCTCAATAGCTGTGGCACACGGGCTTAGTTGCTCTGAGGCATGTGGGATCTTCCCGGACCAGGGCTTGAACCCATGTACCCTGCCTTGGCAGGCAGATTCTCAGCCACTGCACCCACCAGGGAAGCCTGCTTTGCTTGCCTCCTAACACCCAGAGCCTAGAGCAGAGGCTGGTATATGAGACCCTCAATAAATATCTGCTGAACAAGTGAATGCATTTTCAATATTTGTTGTTTTTTCTTTTTCTTTAATTTTCAGATTGCCCTTCGCTTGCTCCAAGCTTCAGACAAAGCAGGGAACTTTCCGTTTCTGGATGAGCCCAGGGTTCCCTTACCTTTACTGAGGCTGCCACTCTGTTCCATACATCTCTCTCAGTGTCCCCTGTGTAAACTTCTTATTGCAAGGCAAATGCCTCCTCTAGGAAGCCCCCTTGGAAGTGACACATGCTTCCTTTCCAGTCCTAACTGCAGGCACTTGTTTAGTCAGTTCAATTGGCCCTTACCTTACACTAACATACTTGTTCTTCACATCCTTCCTTGAATTATCGACGCCCAAAGGCTAGGGACCAAACACTACGTCTGGACCTCTCTCCAGCACCTCTCAGAGCGTTGCACACCTCGTAGGCCCTCAACAAACAGATGAGAATGAATGAGAGTGAATTTTCCAAAGACCTGAAACACTTAATTTTCAGAATGTTCAAAGATTTTTTAACTAATTTTAATGGAAATCTTTCTTATGTATATTACAACTATTTCCATCCCGTTAGGGTGCACTCAACAGATTTAAATTGTAGTGACCCAAGTTTTTAATTACAAACTGGACCTAGAATCAAGAGAATTGGACTCAAAGCCATGTTCTGAAAATAAGTCACTTCATTTCCTAATTAGAGACAGTAACACTTTCCTAATTATTACATAGGATTATTGTCCATCTCAGGATCAATTTGAGAGAACATGTGAAAACAGTTTATACATGTTTTATAAAATAAACTTTAAAAGTTTCAACATGCAACAATTACCTTAACAACAATAATCAGTGACTATGCTGGGTTGTAATAAAGTGCTGCCCTTGAGGGGAATGAAATCTAGTAAATACCGCCATGTTGCTATATCTTCTTGAATTTTTTTTTTTCTTGAATTCTTACGGGTACTATGCAAAGTTTATTGCAGTTCCTCCATTATCCTCAAATTTTTATTTACTTTTTGTTGTTACCTTCAGCCATCCTCAGCTTCCACCCTAGATCTGTTTCTAGACTGTGGCTTCTAAAGCACTGCAAGCTGAAAAATTAGCAAATGAAGCTAGTTGGACACTATCTCAGGCCCTCAGGTGCCTCAAAAATTATTTCCTAGTGCTGCGGCCTGTGCTGCAGGTGGGGAGAGTTCAGGATAAATGAAATGATAAATGGCCTCCTTACACAGGAAATGTTCCTGAATCTCCTCCTCTCTTTCTGCAGTTGAATTTCCTGTCCTGAACACAGGCACAGCTTGGCCTTTGTCCCGGCTCGATGCTATCACTCTGAACACCAGCCAACTTACAGTCTTAAAAACCACTTCCTCTCACTCCTTTTCGAAAGGATCTCTAAAACTCTGTTGAAAGTACTTCACAGAATTATTGCTATGTCTCTGTACAATTTCAAATAAAATGGAGGCAAAATCTATAATATGGTTTCAAAATTTTTTAATTAAAAGAAAGCTTTCTGATAGTACAAAGACCCAGAGTCTATGCAAAATAGGAGGGGGCTGGGGGCTGGAATTCACCTAGTGAATGCATGCTATAGCTTTTCAAAAATTCATTCAGTTTCAGCAGAAAATTAAAAAAGCATAATGTCAGAATTTTAAGTCAAGAACCGACAGAAAGATGGTCTTTCAAAAATTGAGAGCTTTAGCAAGCCTTCCACGATATTTACTAAAAATAAAAACAAGACTGCAACAATAAAAAAAATCTTACATTGTTGACGTAGAGCACAAATTAAGCAAACCTGACTTTGGATAACTAATGATCTGCAGGTGGATGAACGCGGGGATGCAAAGCCTGCAGGTACTGAGGGCCGACTGTGGTCATTGTACGATGCCATTTCATAGAAGAGACTTGAGCACCCGAGGATTTTGGTGTTTGGGGGGCTCCTGGAACTAATGCCCCAGGCATGCTGAGGGATAAGTGTACCCACATTTAAAATTTTTATTTAATAGCCAAATGAAAATTTCTGGTGCTTCTGTCATTTTCCAATTAAAGATTACCTAAATAACTGGTGACATTGTCAAACAACATGGTGGCAAAATAAACAAGAGTGATTCTGAGCTTGTCAAATACTTTATTTTGAAAGGAAAAATTTATGCTTCAAACTGCTAAAACCAACTGATTAGTAAATCAGTATTTCTTGGCTTCCTAGAATTTAAAGACTTAAAGGTATATAAGAACTTCCACTCTGGCCAAGATAGAATAGGGACTGGAATTTATCCTGTCACTGAAACAATGTCCCCTCACCCCCAAAATGTATAAAAGACAGTTTGCAAGTCGAAGACTATCGGGCAAGTGAAAGTAGTGATCCCCGAAGAGATGGAAACAAAGGAGGTTAGGGCTGTGACAGGGGCCAGCTGAGTGCCTTCAGAGAGATTTCTCGCAGCTGTGTAGGGGGGAGATCTGAGGCGGAGCCTAGCGGACCTTTTGAGTTG